CAAACATTCAGCTGCCGTTTGGTACAATCGCTGCCACTCGGCATTTGTTAATGCTGAGTGGCAGCGATTGTACCAAACGGCAGCTGAATGTTTGATGAATGGTTGCCGAATTGTTGACGAATGGGGATGGAATGTTTGACGATTTGTATCGTTATTTCTATTTTCAACTAGTGAAAGCAAACTAAAAAACTGTGTTATCCGAGAGAAAAAAGACTTAATTGGCAAGTGAATAAGGCCTCTTCGGTTCTAACCTTTAACAACTACCTCGGTTATGAATCAATATTCCATATAAGGTTACCGTTACGTCACAGAAAATCATTTAATTACAGCTGTTTTCATGACATTTGACCGATTCGATAAGTTTTTGATAAACTTTTGATTTGAGTGTAATTAGTAATACTATATATAATGATAATTATATATAACGATATTTTTGCAATTGTATTTTGGACGATACTACAATGTCAATACATTCAAAATTAAGTTTACACTTAAACCTATGTCCAGTATTCTTAGTATGTTGTTATTACCAACTAACAGATTTTGACAAAAAATATAAAAAAGGTTTAGAATATAAGATATACTTTCATAATAAATACACGAGCAGGCGTTAATAAGAAAAGTTCAATATGAACAAGAATTGATTACTGGTTTAAAAAAACTATATTATCCTAAACAACCAATATTATATTATTCTTTGTCGAAACCGTGCGTGTTAAGAATTATAATCAACAAAATCAGAATAAATATGTTATTTAAAAGTTTTTAATATATAATGATTATTACAAAATATAAGTCAAAAAAAAAACTAGCAAGAATTAGATGAAGAGAGCATTTAAACAATGGATTTGACATTAAAGATCTTTTAGCTTATTCATATATGTTAAATATTATAACCGCAATACTGTAATATTTGATTAACACTAATTATCGTTTGCATCTCTTATTGTAAAGTCCGATACTTACAAGTTTTCCCTGTACAGATTATTGTCATTTAGCAAAGATATATACATTATTACATAATCGATCATTACTGAAATCAAAAATTTATCGAATCAGCAAAAAATCATTCGGTCAATTTTCTACCGGATGTCCCAAAAATAATGAAAACAGCTGTAATCCGTATTATACAGTGGCTCCCAAAAAGAATGCATCACTTGAATAAAAAATTTGAAATGTAAATATCTTGTGATACAAAAGCCGTTGCAACTCAAGAAACTATTATTAGAATCATTATGTTAAATGTATTATAATATATGAATTTTTTTTATGCAGCAATAAAAAAAAAAAAAATTATTGAACATTTTTTAATATTTTTGTGATGCATTTATTTTGATCACATTTTTTATTTCTATTTACTACATAGTAAACTTAAAAAAAAAACAATTCAAATAAAAATTATTTGAATATGTGGTTGTTTACTATCTAGTATATCTGTCTTTTGCTTTAATTACATCATTGATGCAAGTTGACATAGATTCAATAAGATGTTTACATATGTTTATTTCTAACTCAACCCAGATCTTTTGAGCAGTTTCCTACAATTTATTTTCCATTTTCATATGCTCAAGCTTTTTCAATGATAATCTATTTCATTCTATAAATATTTAATAAGATTCAAATCTGAAAACTGTGATAGCTAATTAAACACCCTTATATCATTTTTTTTGAACTACTTCTTTATGAGTCTTGTAGTATACTTGGAATTATTATCTTATTGAAAGATAATTTTGTTTTTATCCAAATAATATCATTTGATAGTTTCTAGGTCTTCTTCCAAGATTTGATAGTACAAGACACTATTCATATTTCTATAAATATAGCAGATATTGTCAACACCACTTGATATAAAGCATTCTCATACCATAATTTTGTCACCTTCAAATTTTTTCATAGGGTGAACCTAGTAGTTTTTCAATAGTTTGTTTAGCTTCTTCTAATAATATTTCTTCCTATCAAACCCAAAAAGTATAAACTTCATTTTATCTAATTACTCTAATTTATTCTAGTTCTCTACTTTTCAAAATTGATACTTTTTAGCAAATATTAAATATCTTTTCTTTGCTTCCTTCAACAAATATAGCTTTTTATACTTAACTTGAGTATGCAACTTATTTCTATACAATCTCTTTCTTATTATAGTAATACTAACAAAAAGTTGTTCTTTAGTTTGTAGTATTTTTGAAATTAACAGTAGTAATATATTTTCTTGATACAATATAATACAACATAGTTCATTTATAATAGCCAAATAAAAGCTTACAATATTCAACTTTTTTTTGATTCTTCAAAGTACATGTATCTTTTATATGTTGTTTGATTCTTATAATAGTTGATTGAATAATATTTTTATAAGTAGCTACTTCTTGAGTTGAGTATTCTTCTTGAAGAAAGTTATAGATATGAGCTTATTTTTCTAATAACAACTAGACTATATAGTCTAAATTTTTTTATAAAGAGCAAAGAAGTTATAAGGTACAATTTTTATATATAACAAGGAGGTTATTTTAAAATACAAAAAGGTTACATACTATAGTTCAATATCTGTTTATCAGAACAACCAAAAAAAATACATTATAATTTTTTTAGACTTTGTTTTATATTATATAAATTTTTTGAAATAAAGAAAAAATTATTATATATATAGAAACTTTAAAGTATAACAAATCTAAATTATGAATTTTATAATATAGTGATATTTAGATTATGAGATATTAGCATTTTAAGTTTTATTTTCAGGTGATATATTCTTTTTGTAAACTACTATATCTAATTTATAGGCATCAGATTTGATTTCAGTATAATTAATATTCTATTTGAAAAAATTTTATTCTAGTTAGTTACAATTATGTGAAAGTAAATTTTTGTATATTTGAAAAAGTTAGAATTAATTATAGGTTAGAACTCATCTAGAGGTTTAGTTATACAAAGATTTGAATTCACTAATCTATATAAATAAACTGAGATAATTCAAAAATTTAACTAAGTAGTAATCCTAACTTGAATAAGACTTAAAAGAGGTGAGGATTAACTTGATTTGAGATTAGAATTACTCGAGTAAGTATTTTGGTTATAAAAGTTGGTATATAGATTGTCTTAATTATATTTATCAGAAGTTATAGTTTAATTATGATTAGGTTACAAATTAGATTTTGATTTTAATACAAATTAGATTTTGATTTGATAATGAATTGAATTACAATTTGGATTACAGGATATGAATTTATTAGTAGATTGATTTAACATTATGAAATTAATTAATTGTTTTAATTAATTTAAAGATACTATATAAAACAATACAATATAATAATTTGAGTCTTTTACTTTATTAACAAACTAGTATAAATTGAGAAAGATATCATGAGAACAGAAATTTAATAATAAACAATTCAAAAGATTTAGAATAGTAATTTATAACAATTTTTAAAGACTAATTTAGTTAAAGACAAACACTTCTATACAAGACTTTTTAATACTCAGAAGGTTTTATTTTTTCAAACTCCAAGAGTTGGTTTTCTTTATTGAGAATAGATATTCATTCTATATATACTTTTTACTACTACATGATTTAATAATATATATAATAATAATCTTTACAAATATTACTATTAGTTCTATTTATTTACTATATACTTTTATTATTATTTTTTGAATAATAATCATTCTATAAATTTTTGTTATTATGTATTTTTATTTTATTAAACTTATTCTACTAACTCATTAAATTTTATAAATTTTATAAAATTTGAAAACTTTATGAATTGGTATAATATCAAATTTAAGGTATTGATCTTCTTTTCACAACATATAGACTATTTGAATTTGAAGCTTCATTTAAATATTATTTTTTTATATTTGTTCAGGAAGAGATTAAACAAATATTAAAATTAAATGAGGTTCAATAGGTTCAAGTAAACTTAAATTAGATTATACTCATCTTTAATGTTAATTGTCTAGTATTTTGAGACTTAATGATTTGCCACAAATTTTTAATTTTTTTGTATAATCTTGAAAGTGTAGATAAATAATATTAAACAAAGTCTAAATTCAAATAGCTATAAATATAGAGATAAAAATTAGACCTGCAGTAATTGTCAGCTAACTTTATATAAACTTTTCTATAACTTTATTTATTATCTGATATTAATTAAAAAATATACAAAGTCAGCTAGCAATTGCTACAAGATCGATTTATTACTATTATTATTGAATAACTCTGAATTCTGAAATTTGATTAGTAAGATTTGTTATAATCAAATATTCAGTATGAGAAGTATAACGTAACTAAAGATCCTGAAAAATTTCAAAAGGATTAGAAAATAATAAATCACAATTTTTACTAAATCTTGCTCTATAAAATATTTTTATAATTTTTTTATACATAGTAGATTATACAATAAATCATATTAGCTAGCTATTTTAGTATACCAATTAAATTTACATAAGTTTATATAACTTATTAATCTACTAGTTAATTTTTATAACTTTTTTATAGCTATTTTATTATACTAATCAAATTCACATAAGTTTATATAACTTATTAATCTACTAGTATAAAAAAAATTTATATATGATCATATTAACAATTTTAAAGAATAAATTTTAATATTTAAAAATATAGCTGTTTTGGTGTTATAATGAACAAGTAACAAAGTAATCAGTATTGTAACAAAAAAAACAAGCAAACATAATTAAGATAAAACTACTAAACTAATAATATCTTTTTAAAAAAAAAGTTTATAAAAAGTAAAATATTATATTAATTTTTAGTATCTTATAGTATAAGTATTATATAACTTAATTTGCTTTTTATTAAATATAATAACTTGTTTTAAATACCATGTCAAGCTACTGTAAATAAATTTCCAAAACATTTTTTTGATATGCTGAATTATAATTAAAAATATTTTTTAAAAATTTTATATCATAATAAAAATATTTTTTGCCCTTACTCAAAACAATATTTGTATAATAGAATCTCAATTTTTTAGGATCTCTAAACATGACCTAGCTATAAGCATATGAATAAGTAAAAAAACATAACCTAGCTATAAGCACATGAGTAAGTGAGAAAATATAACCAGAAAATCTACAGATAGTGCTTAAGAACAGTGCAGTTATATATTTAATAATATTGCAACTTTTTGAAATTTTAATGAAGATATCTCAACAACTACCTAATAAAATTCATTGAATTTTTTCTATTCTGATTGTATAAATATATAGAATTAAATAAAAAAAATTTCATCAAATTTCATTATGTGGTTGCTGAGATATCTTCAACTAAAGCTAAGTTAATATTCAAAATATCTATTAAATTCAAAGCTACTTTAAAATTTTTCAATTCTTTAAATGAAGCTATCTCAACAACTACCTAATGAAATTCAATAAAACTATTTTTAATTTAATTCTACATATGTGTAGAATCAAAATAAAAAAATTTTCATTGAGTTTAATTAGGTGGTTGTCAAGATATCTTTGTTTAAAGATTTGAAAAATTTTAAAGTAGATTTAAATTTAATAGATGTTTTGAATATTGATTCAACTTTTGTTGAAGATATCTTAGCAACCACCTGATAAAATTTGATAAAATTTTTTTAATTTAATTCTATCTATTCTCAGAATCAAAATAAAAAAAATCATCAAATTTCATTAGGTAGTTGTCTGAGATATCTTTATTTAAAATTTGAAAAATTTTGAAATGACTTTGATATTTGAAAATTGACCTGACTTTGGTTGAAGATATCTCAACAACCACTTAGTAAAATTCACTGAAAATTTTTTATTCTGATTCTATAAATGTGTACAATTAATGTAAAAAAAAAATTCATTGGATTTCATCAGGTTGTTGTCAAGATATTTTCGTTTAAAATTCCAAAAAATTGCCGTATTGTTAGTCACATGACTGCACTGTCCCTCGTGAAATGTGACCTAGCTGTAGGCACGTGAGTAAGTGAGAAAACGTGACCTAGCCGTAGGCACGTGAGAAACATGATCATAACCCGAACCAAGGTCCCGAACTGAAGCCTCCCGAACCAAAGCTAAGCCGCAGGATCCCGTATGTGAAATAGCATTTAATAATATGCTATATTGGGTTTAGCTCGAGGCGAAGCTCATTGAAAACAATTGAATAATGGCTTTATGTCATAGTCATGTACAGTAAATAAATCATTGTAGCTTGTAGATTCCCCCCCCCGATACTCAATTTAGTCAAAGCCTCCGCTGTATTTTTCTTGTATAAAAGTCCTGTAATTTCTACAGTGAAGTAATCGTTTAATATTAATAAGGCCATTCCAAGTTGATTTTTATGTTAACGTCTGAATTTTGGGCCCAGGCATGAGAGGGAGGATAAATTTTAAACAAACACTAACTTTAAACAAACACCAGAATATTGTTTTCTCACGATTTTTCCCGAGGATCATGACTGTTTATATCGGAATTTCTCGTGCGCCTTGTTTTTAAGTAAATTCTGTTATATGATTGGCTTGTTTAATTTTCGGGGGGACAGCTAAAGGGCAGGGGGGGATGACGCTAACCTAAAATTCAACTTGGAACGGCCTAAAGACACACCTTAAAACCAGGATCTTAGTGGCAGTAAGATCCTTGGTTCTCGGACCAAATCTTTCACGCCTTTCTTTTGAGTTGCCTTGTGTCTTTGCGTTACCGGATACAATACCGAATTTATAACGGTTTAACCCAAAATCCGGATTTATCATCTTATCAAAATGAGTATCCGTTATCCTCTTCATATCCGGATATATCTGGATTTAGCAAACCGGATCCAAGCACTATCTACAACTTTACGAGAAGCTCCAGAAAGGTTTAATTGGTAAAAATACTTTTATATATAAACAAGCCCTTTGTCTAGTGATGAGCACGCGCGTGATGCGCGGATTTTTTTGAATCCCGCGCTAATCAAAATCTAGATTACTGGCCTGTATTAGTCATAATTTAGGCTAGAAGATCTTCAATTCCTTGACAACTATTACGTATCTCTAATTACTGCGAAAAATCTTTATATGTTTTTACAATAAAGTAAAATTTTAAATAAATAGTATATATATTATAAAAATAACTATTCAGAACAAAAATCAGCAATTAGTCATTTCTATCCCGCATATCACGCGCGGATCCCGCATCCCGCGCGGGATATTTTGGAAAACCACAATTTGCCAATCACTACTGTACCTATGTCTGTATTACATTAAGCTCCAACTTTTTTTTACTGTGAAAGTTATTATTTTTCATACCCTTCAAAGCCAAAATACCTCCAAAACCTTTTTAATTACAGCTGCATACTAACTGGGACAGCTAATTAAAGATCAGACCGAATAAATATTTGCCAATTTGATAAGATTTTGATTCAGAAGTGATAAACTTGTGATTTGGGGCATAATTAGTAATATAAAACGATTTATATAATATTTTAATACATATAGTATTCTGAACATTTCAACATTAAGTTTTCGCTTGAATGCTGCAAAGATCTTAACAAAAAAAAAGGTTCCGAATATACAGTAAGATAAGCTTTCATAATAAATGTGGAGGATGAAGCTGAAAATTAGAGGTCTCGATTTGAAACCATAAACCTGTCAAAATCTACTTATACTCTTTTAATATAAACCCCAACCTTAAATTCTAATCTAAATATAAAAAAATTTAAAAAAATGCACCCCAAAAAATTTCAAAAATTTAATAATAAAATATTAAAAATTTTCAGCTTCAGCCATCACAATAAATATATTACGCTTATAAAAAGTTCGACATGATCGAAAAAATATAACCCAAATTATAATTCCATTTTACAACTTAAAAGTTTTATATATCAATGATTATTAAAAAATATAGATCGAAAAGAAAACCACAAAGTAGTTATGATATATATAGATTATTACCAGAATCACTAACTTATAAAATCGGCAAATATTTATTCGGTCAAACTTTAATCAGCTGTCCCAGTTAGAATGAATATAGTTGTAATTATATATGAATTTAACTATTAGCTAGAGATAGTACCAGTATGAAAGTAACCAGTAACTCGTTAACCGGCCTGCATATTACTATGTTCTTAGCAATGAATAAGAATTGCTGAAGCTTGTAACCAAAAAACTTTAAAGAATTCTTTATGATTCGGTAATCCGCGAAATAATTCGGAAGTTAGATGAGAGAGACGTTTTTAAACATTTCTTAAATTTATTGTCTATTTAAACTATAACAATTTATTTTATTATAATAAATAAATAAAGAAGAATAATTATTAATAATTTTAATTATAACAATACTATATCAAAGACTTTTTTTTTTTATTAATGAGATAGCTAATTCTTTAGTATTTAGTATTATAAAACAATTTTAATTTGTGATCCGCGTGGGAACCTGTAAAATATCATATCATAGTAAAAAGTGGGGGATGTATTTTTTGCTTTTTTTGGAATCTGAAGTTTTCCGAAAGATAACTCGGGGGGTTTTTTTTTTTTATTAAGTAAACCTCATTTATGCTTTTAATAAAAATTATAAAGGAAAAAATTCCGGTTATAATGGTAGTTAAAACGCTAAAATCGGCCCGGTGGGTCACGAAATATGAGCGTTTAGTCTTCGCGGCTATAAGTTTACTTCTTTGTTTTGATCATATAATCGCAAAGACTAAAACGCACGATCCACTGAGCCGATTTTAACGGTTTAACAACCATTATAACCGGAAATTTTACCTCTACAACTTTTATTAGAAGCACAAATAAGATTTACTTAATAAAAAAAAAAAAAATAAGTTATATTTTGGGAAACTTCATATTCCAAATTTAATAGTAAATTTCTCCTGATTCCCACGCGGATCACGAATTAAATTTTAAATTTTCTGTTCGATTTCATTTTTCTATTAGCCAATCAGATTTAATAAAATCACCAAAATCACGGAATTTCATTTGTGGCGAGTCATGTGAACAGCTAAATTATCGTTATCGTAATCAGTTATCGTTATCTTATTCAAGAATTACTGATCGTGTTACGTTACACCTAATAGTGACCTAATTTTGTCATTGATAAATATGGCGTGACATTTTGATATCTGATATTTTTTATTGATTTTTTTTAAAAACAAATAAAAGACTATTTGTTTTAAAACAAATAAAGACCTACGTAGTATATATTCTTTCATCACATGATAAGTGATAATTAGTATAATTGGTCAACTAATTTTGCTGGGAAATGTTTTTGTAAACAGTAAAGAACAAAGACTACGTATCAAAGTTATAGTTTTATTTAAAAAGGATCATTTGTCGGAAGTATTTTCAGTGAAAGATTACATTTAAATTTCTAAAATAGTACGACTTGTGCATGTTTTGTGTCCTTTGGAAGTTGTCTTGAGATAATCATTATCCAAACCCATACCTTTGTGTTCCAGAAATTTCTTAGTTACGGCGCTTTCAACCTACTATGCAAATAAACTTCCTTTCCAAGTACATCCAAATATTTACTCAACAAAAAAAAAAAGAAGTAATAAAATGAAATAAAGATATGTAATAAGAAATGCTGTAAATAATTTATAATTCGGGTAATGACGTCCATATGCATAAATTTTCATTTTAATTCCGGTTCAATTTTTGAAATCATGTCTTAAGTTGATGTTGATATAAAAATGTCTACCAAGTTTTATGAAAACCTTTCTAAAAACTTAAATGACCTTCTTATTAATAATAATGAATATAATGTTATAGTTGAAGTTGGAAAACCGCCAAATTATCAAACGTTTAAGGCTCATTCTGTTATCTTAAGTTCCCGTTGCCCTTATTTTGATGATAAACTAAAATCAACGATTTGTGACAATGGAAACGTAAAAAAAATTAAAATTGATATTTCTGTAAGAGTATTTGAAATTATAATTAGGTATGTAATTTATATAAATTTTACTTAAAATTTAATTAAATTTTTTTAAAAAAAAATTTTTTTTTTTTTTTTTTAAACGTAGATATATCTATTGCGGTACCATTTCATTAGAAAAACTTAACACTTCTATAATATTTGATCTTTTAATTGCTTCAAATATATTTTGTCTTGAGGAATTAATTGATCATATTCAATCACTTTTAATCGAGAATAATGATTCTTGGTTACGTCGTAATATTTTTCGTATTTGTCAGACAATTTTTTATGATGATAGTTTTAAACCTTTACAAGAATATTGCTCAAATATTATCTCTCAAAAACCTAGTATTATTTTTGATCATGATGAATTTATTTCTCTACCAGAAAATATTCTGATTTATATTTTAAATTTTAATGATTTACAAATGGACGAAGGAATAATTTGGGATTGTGTAATTAGATGGGGAATTGCCAAAAATTCTTATTTATCTCCTGATCCTAAGCAATGGTCTGATGAAGATTTTTTAGTGATGAAATCTACTCTTCAAAATTGTCTTCCTTTAATTCATTATTATAAAATTTCTGCTGAAGATATTTTTGAGAAAGTTAGTCCTTATCATAAAATGCTTGATTCAGAATTATGGACAAAGATTATGTCGAAATTTATGCCATCAGATCAGTCTTCAAATTCTCAATCCATTCTTTTTTCTCTACCTACTTTACAAGATGGTGATTCAAAAGGAATTGATATATCTACGATGAAAAAATGTGTCAAACATTATTTAAAATTTAAAAAATATGAAGAAGCTATTACATATTTAAATAAAATATTATTAATTATTCCAAATGATACAACTGCATTATATGATCGAGGTAAAGCTTATCTCATGTTGGGCAATTTTAAAAAATCACTTAGGGATTTAACGACATCGATAGATATTAAACCAACTTCACTTGCACTTATGAGTCGGGGTGAAACTTATAGTATGATGAAAAAATATGATGCAGCTCTTGCAGATTTAACTAGGTCATTAGAAATTGATCCAAATAATTCATGGGCATTAAGTTATAGAGGTGAAACTTATAGTAAGATGAATAAATTTGATGAAGCTCTTATTGATTTAAATAAATCAATAGAAATTGAATCAAATAACGCTTTTGCGTTAGGTATTCGAGGTTCAATATATTATTCAATGAAAAAATATGATGATGCACTTGAAGATTTAACTAAATCATTAGAAATTGAACCTAATAATGCATTTGCTTTAAAAAATCGGGGTGATATTTATTGTATAATGCAAAGATATGACGATTCATTTGTTGATTTAACTAATTCATTAGAATTGGAACCAAATGATACATTTACGTTAAAGAATCGTGGGTTAACTTGTATGAGTATGGGAAAATATGATGAGGCTATTACTGATTTAAATAAATCTTTAGCAATTGATCCTAATGATACGGCTGCATTATATGATCGTGGAGTAACTTATCTAGCTATGGGTCAATATGAAAATGCTCTATATGATTTAACAAAATTATTAGAAATTAATCCTAATAATATACTTGCATTGATAAGTCGGGGTGAAACTTATCGTATGTTGAATAAATATGATGAGGCTCTTGCTGATTTAACAAAGTCATTACAATTAGAATCTAATAATGCATTGTCCTTAAATCGTCGAGGAACAATTTATTACATGATGGAAAAAGATGAAGAAGCTCTTGAAGATTTAAATAAATCTTTAGAAATTAATCCAAATGATGTAACTGCATTAAATAATCGAGGTGAAACTTATCGTATGATGGGACAATATGACAAAGCTCTTGTTGATTTTATTAAATCATTAGATATTGAACCAAATAATGCTTTTACGTTAAGATGTCGAGGCACAATATATCATTTATTAAAAAGAGATAAAGATGCACTTACTGATTTTACTAAAGCATTAAAAATTGATCCGAATGATGTATTGACGTTAAATCGTCGTGCAGACTCTTATAGCGTATTAAAAAGATATGATGAAGCAATTGCAGATTTAACAGAATCATTAAAAATTGATCCACATAATGGTTTTACATTAGGAAGTCGGGGTGTAATTTATCAAAAGTTGAAGAAAAATGATGAAGCACTTGCTGACTTTACTAAATCATTAAAAATTTTTCCATATGATACATTTGCACTAGAAAGGAGAAGCGAAATTTATCGTATTATGAAACGATATGAAGAGGCAATTATTGATTTAACTAAATTATTAGAGCTTGATCCTAATGATGCATTGGCATTAAGCCGTCGAGGAACAATTTATCGCATCTTAAATAGACATAAAGCTGCGATTATGGATTTAACTAGATCATTAGCAATTGATCCAAATAACGCATGGACATTAAATAATCGTGGTGAATCTTATCGTATGTTGGGAAAATATAAGAAGGGACTTGCTGATTTAGATAGAGCATTAAATATTAAACCAGATAATGCATATATATTAGCAAGTCGAGGTGCGATCTATCGTATGATGAAAAGAGATGATGAAGCACTTAAAGACTTAAAAAGATCATTAGAACTTGATCCGGATAATTCATTTACATTGAAAATTATCAATAAACTTAATGCTGATATGAAAAGAAACAAATTGATCAGAAATATTAAATATCTTGTGAATTTAAACTCTTAGAACACTTCTATTTTGTAATATAAAATTAAAAAAAAGCTAATGCTCTATTATTGTTCTAATTTGAAGAATTTTGAACCTTTTAAATAATATCAAACATTTTCTACAACATTTCATAAAATTCTTTTTCAATTTTATTATTTTTACAAGAGAGTGGAATTTTTTAGTAGAATATAAACAAATAAATCATTAAATTGATTTTTTTAGTAATCTTATTCTCTAGATTTCCTCTTTATAAATATGTGTATCATACTTTACAATATGCTAATCTCATGTAATCACGGTTTGAGATATTGAAATCAATTTAGATTGTTTATACAGAATTTCTTTTTATGGTACTTATATTTAAATTTATATCTACCTAAACAAACTAACTCATATGCAAAAATACTAAATAAGATCAACACTTATCAATATTTTAACTATAAAATATATACTTGTAAAATATAGTTTTTTATAAACTTATTATAATCTCGTTTAAACTTAATTACTAACAAAAATAACCAAAACTAAGTTTTATTTTATATATAAAAAAATTGATTAAAAAATTTTTCAAATTTATTTGTAAATTATAGTGTATTACTAACTAAGTATATTTCTAATATCAAAAAGATTTTACTTGTATAAGTTATTTTTCGCGGTGACAAACCTTAATAATAGTTATAAGTTAAATTAGTTGACAAACTCCAGGTATTATGTTATATATATATAAACAGCGAGTGTAAAAACGAATATAAATATATTGAAAAAAAAATAACTAGAAAAATCTATATAATACAGACCACATACAAGGAAAAAAATTACACCATATGATCGCATATAGCAAAAACTTATCTATCAAAAAAAAAACATATATTTTTAATTAAAAAGTAGATTACAATATTCGATTATATTAGATATTATATGCAATTCCATTAAAGAATTATTATGTTATCAGAAGAAAACTGGGCCTTTCGTTAAGATATATAAATATTTGCAATTACTAAAATAATTAAATTTTAAATACAAAAAAAAAAAAGAAAAAATCCTCTGCACACTACCTCAAATTTTTGTAACCCCAAATTTGTGAACATCTAATCAAATCAATTAATCAATATTATTAACAGCAAAATAGCAATATAAGTAAGCCACGTAATAACCTATCACGAAACTTTATCAGGATGTTACCTTTAACTTTAAATTATCTGTTCAAAAAATATTTTACCTGATCAAAAAATAGTGTAGACATAGCTTATAACAACTATAAAAGAAAGATCTTGTTAAAACAAACCTATATGATTTGCGATCACAAATTTTTGAATTTTAATATTTTAAAATAAATAGATTTCTAACAAAGCAGTTTTTGCTTTTTAGAGATTAAAAAAGTAATAGAAGATCTAGGTTTAACGAATGTAGATTTACTTGGTTATTGAACGCGTCTGTGTTTGTTACCCATAGATAAGAATTTGAACTTATAAAATATATTGTAATTTGGTTCGTTAGATATAAGAAACTTGATGATGTGTATGTATTAAATAAAAATATTAACATATAACTTTAATATATATAATAAATATACAATTTGATTGGTTAATGCTCACGTATAAATCCAAATTTGGTGACCCAAATATAAAGGCCTAATTTTGCAAATTGGCCGATATGTTATTTTTTGGTTTAAATAATTAATATAATGGAAAAGATTTAATATTTTTAAAATTATCATGTTTATTTCATGTAACTTAATAAAACAATGAAAAAAAACTGTTTATAATTTATTTAATTATCGTTATTGTTTAATTAAATTTTGTTAGAATTACCAAACACTTCAACATGGCCGCAATTTTCACCTATTTAAAACTAATGATGATTCAAAGTACTAATACAAATAAAAGCAAAAAGTATAAAATATAAAAAATGGCAGTTCTAAAACTATCTTAAAATGGCAATACAAACATTTCAAATAGACAATTTTGCTTATGATTAAATTGGGCTTAAATACCGTTTAATTTCACAATAAAAACTATAAATTATTGTCATCACAAATAAAGCTCCAGCAATGATATTATCAGGAGTTGGGTCAAGATCATCGGACTTAGCAAGAGTTGAATCAACTTCACTAATGGCATCACCAGTATTGTATATCTCGGTAACTGTAATATATATTTCATGTTAGAAAATTATGAAATTATTTGTTTCTAAAAAGTTATTGAATTAGAAGAATTTTTTTTTTTTTTTTTTTTACCTGAATAAAATGAACCTTTTACTATCGCTTCGTTAATTCTAGTATAATCAGTCATATACTTGTTTTCCACATTTGCCCATAGGTCTATCAACTCCTCATAATCAACCTTTGAAATTCTTAATACACCAGTTGAATTTTTCATATGATGTTGTAGCGATCTTGCAGAGCACTCAATTAGACAATTATGACTGTTCCAAAAATCAATAATCAGTTTGGATTGATGTTTAATTTCTTTGATTTCTTTATATATTTCTTCAATTGTTTCATTTTCATTATTATTGGTAATTTTAATACTTCTGTTTTCGTCGTAGTAATTTATCATATTCGAGTTATATGAATTATTAAACATCTTAATAATACTATCTAAATCATCTTCTAGCCCTTCAGAGGAACAAATCCTTTTATTAGATTCATTAAGCAACATTTCCATTAATTCAATCAGATCATCGGCCTTAAATGTATTATTTGAAATGATTTTATAGATCTGAATAATATCATTAATAAATAGTGAAGCTTTATGAAGTTCAGAGGATAAGTCTTCGCTAAATTTGATAAAATTTACAGTTATCTTGTGTTGGTCAGTCTTTGCAATTAGTGTTTTCCATTTTTGTAAAGATTTTAAAATTTTAAATATATTTTGGTCCAATCGATTTACAGAAGAAAGAATCTGTTTCAAGGCTGTTTTACATGATTCGATTTTAGAGCCTTTAAAATTTGTGAGCAAATCAATATCTTTTTCATCTTTGTCGACTTGAAAATGGTTTTGAATTGTTATTTTCGAATTTTGCATTTGTAAAAAATCTGCATTAATACCAAAATTTTAAGGTGAATTCTTTCTATATAAGGTTTTTTTTTTTTTTTTTTTTGTCTTTAATCATAAATTCTTATCATTCACGATTTTATTTTCACATTGTGACACAACTTCTAGTTTAAAACACCTCAGTCAGGTCATTTATGTTTATTGATTAGTCATTTCTATAATTCAAATTTGAAGTTGTGTGAATTAGTCATATCAAAAAGCTTAATTAATTACCAATAAGCTCCTTTTTTTTTTTTAAAAAAAAAAAAAAAAGGAGTATAAAATATGCGTAATTGCTACGATAATTACGTAAATGAGAAAAACTCAAATATATAATGAAGTTAATAACTTTATTATAGAGTCAAGTTCGTAATCGATCAATTTTTTAGAAGAATATTAACGGCGCCAGTATATTTAATTTTTATGACGTATCTTGAGATATAATTTTTTTTTAAATTAAAAAGAGATTATTATATTGAGGTATGCTAAATTAATGGTTATCAGGCAATTCAGGTCCATTGTTCCAAGTATAAATCTACAGATTATGGTAACTGTCATATGTGATATTATATGGTTTAATATATTAACACTTTAAGTTGATGCATAACGATACGTGATCAAATAATTCTAAACTACAAAGAAACTTTGGATAACGAATACATATTATTCAATTTTAAACATAAATAAATAGTGGGTATCTTTTTAATAATATTTCGAAAGAAATTCTAAATAATAGAATAAACCTTTATAATTGAATAAAAAAAAAAAAAATGGACGAATCAGCCAATTTATCTTCATTTGATATGAAAGACTTGAAAGCTAGTATGGTAGAATGTACAAAAATATTTTCAGATTGCACTAAAATGAATTCCGATAATATTATTATTAGGGAACAAATAAAGAATTTATTTAAACTTCGTTTGAGATTCCAAGACTTTGCAGAAAATTCTGTTGACCATGGTATCAAATTGTCAAGTTATATTGTAAACTTCAAAGGGGTCGTAGATCTTATCGATGATCCGACAATTCATAAAGAAGATTTCATCGAAGAACTAAAATCATTGGAAGATGAAACAAAAGAATATAAGACAGTTTCAGAGAATTTATTCAGGAGTATTAAAGGATTTATTGATCAATTTTCAGCCTCCAACAAATACATTGAATCTTATATGGATGGTATAAAGAAGGAGATTGGAAAGATAGAAGATAATTTGAATGAAATTAAAAATAGTAAACAAAGACAAGTAAAATTATATGAAGAAAAAAAATTCTGGGAAGGGTTATTTATAGTAGCAACGACTGGTTTGGCAATAGCTATAGCACCAGGGGCTGGATTGGCTATTGGTATAGCAAATTTAATTAGTACATCTATAAAAGGTGAGTTATACTCACCCAAAAAATTTTTACTACACGTGATTTTTTGTGACGCAAACAAATCATTTTTCAAGATCAGGTGTAACGTAAAAATCAATAGAGCGAAAGTTTTAAAGTAGGAATTTTTTATTTAATCCTCAGAAAGCGATTTAATAGTCAAAATAGTGAGTTATTAGCGATTTATTCGAAAAAAAAACAAAAAAGTGTGATAAATTCTAATTGGTTAACGTCACAAAAAATCACGTGTCGGAAAAATTTTGTGGATGAACAATATACATAACGAATATCAAATATTACAAACGTGAACTGATAATGTTTTAAATAGATGACCATGATCTGAATTATGAAACCTTAATTAATATTGCAAATGAGTTAATTGAAAGTCTCGACGAATCAAAAGAAGAAAAAACTGAATTAACTAAAGATTTGTCAGCTCTTTTTGAAGGGTTCGCAAAGATCGCAGTAACCTTCGTTAAATTTCAATTATTTTGGAATTCTCAAAAAGAAACACTTTCTAAAATTCTTCAAAACCTGGATAATGTTGAAAAAATTAATAGAATCAACACACTTAAAGTTAAACTTATTGGTAAACAACTAGATCAATTGAAATCTTCTGTTTTCGATTATAATAATACTGTCTTAGAGATAATAACATATGATAGAATGATTTAAGCATGTTCTTCTTTATTTTTTAAATAGTATTGTTCAAATCTTGAGTATAATTATATTTAATATAAATAAATAACTATTTCCGGATGCTATGTAAATGTTAATATTATTAAATATGGAATAAATGTTTAATTTTTCGTTTTGTACGTATTATTACGGGGTAAAAAGGTAGACCCGGAAAGTAGGTCGGAACTGCACCTAAAATGTAAAGTGGCGATGTTAGCGGTAGATAAATGAAGGAATTACCGAAAATAGGTACGTCCGCGTGTCAGTCCCGTTGTTCCACAAAATTATAAGTGATGAGAAGTCGAGGGTAATGACAAGGGTGATGACGAGAGTGATGACGCGGGAATATTGCGAGAAATTCTACGATTAAATAAAGCTGTTATAGAGAAAGGAAAAGAAGCTAATCGTGTCAGAATAAAGACAAGAATAAATAATCGTAGGATCAAAATCAAAATAGTATAAAAAGAGTGTAATATCTCCTTTGTAAAAAAGAACTTATCATAACCTTAATAACAATATTATTAATAATAAAGTTAATTACGAAAATATAAAAACCCGAATTAATTAATAAAATTCTAATTCCAAATCACCAAAGTCACGCCTCTGGCGAGTATCTCTATAAGACATTACTAATCCGCCCGCAACAGTATAATGTCCAGTGTTTTGATCGGGTCGGGTCAACCCGAAAAAAAACCAAACCGAAAGTTCGGGTTAAGAAAAATTGACCGAAAATTACTAATAATAAGACAGGTCGGCATTAAATTAATTTTGGCTAGCATTAAGATTAATTTTTGCCAGCTTTAAGATTAATTTTTGCCAGCTTTAAGATTAATTTTGGCTAGCATTAAAATAAAATAGTTTGAATAAATGAGTGCCGCCAAGGGAAAACCTGAATCCGGAAAGTACAGGTTACTATCATCACGATGAATCACTAATGATTTTAATAACCTGTACTTTCCGGATTCAGGTTTTCCTTTGGTAGCACTCAAATGAAATGCTAAAGCGAGCCAGCATTATATTAGTGTAACATACATTATTAGATAACCCGAAATTTGTGCTACTTGAACTTTTATAAATTCGCTTTCAAATTAATAGTATTTAGGCCATTTGAAGTTGATTCTTCGGTTAACGTGCCCCTCCCCCTCCTCGTCATCCCCCGGCCACCCTCAAAAACGAACAAGCTAATCACAGCATTGTGATATTGTTGCCCAATCATATCTCATCCAGTAATTGTCTTTTGATTGGCCTGTTTAATTTTTTTTTTTTTTTTTTTTGTTATCACCCTGCCCGAGCTCAAAAGTTGACGTTAACCAAAGAACCAACTTCAAATGGCCTTACAGCTGTTTTCATAAATTCTGGGACACTTAAAAATTTATTCGTTTCCCGAAATCTCTTCGGTTTCGTTCTGTGA